GGGCGCGAGGGCCCGCGAGGACAGGGCGGGACCTGCTCACTGTCCCAACTGTTACTTGGACAGCGCGCAGTCCCTTCTCGGGTTCTCACTCCCGGATTTGACAAGACCTCTCCTCCCCAAAGAGTTTCACCGGGGTTCCCTTAAATCAAGCACACGCCTCCACCTGATCCTCGAGAATTGCGTCTGAACAAAAGGTCGTACTTCTGCGACGCCTGAATATTTCAGAGGCACTGTCCCACCACCTTGCGTTCCCCAAATACACCTCCCACCTCCCGCGCCCGGCCCCTGGGTCTAGCGCCGCACGGGAGGAGTTGGCCACCTGCCGGGAGGAGCTGGGCGCTGGGCGGCAGGGGGGCGATACAGATCGCCCCTCGCGATGTGCGCTGCCGGATCTTCCTCGTGCGTTTCCCAAGGGCCGCCTTACTGTGGAATCGGCGCTCGCCGTCCTTCGCCCCCTTCCGCACCTCTCGGGCTCTCCGGGTCGGACCCTGGCACGCCAAGCCAGGGGCCTAACCTGTCCCCACCCGCACAGTGGCACTTGGGAGCACTTCCCTGGACTGGAAGGTGAGCAACGCCGCAGAGGCGCTTCGCCCGCGAGGCCAGACCGTTAGGGAGTGTAAACAAACGCAGAGCTGCCAGGAAGGGTGCAGAATCGCAGGTGACGGAGGAAGCGCGCCCTCGCCGTCCTGAGGACTTGGGGAGCTCGCACTGCACACAGGCGCTCAAAACCCGTGCAAACCCGTGCACACCAACACGCACAAAGGAGTTCGCGGAGATCCCCGCCGCCACGAGCCCCTCCGGGCGCTTCCTCCCCTAGCCACTGAGGCGCAGGCCGCCCAGCCCGCTCCACCTCCCTCCCAGCCCGCGCCCGGCCGCCCGCGCTCACCTTTGAGCAGGCAGATGTCGGTGCGCTCGGCGTGGCGGCGCAGAGCCTGCACCACCAGCGACACGGTGCTGTCCTCGCGGAGGCTCTCGGCGCGCGGGCTGCGCTCGTCGTAGACGATGACGGCCGAGTAGAGGCCGGACCGCAGGCGGGCGCGCACCTCCTCCTCGGCCGGCAGGATCTGCTCCAGGCTCACGGAGCCTTTGGCCCGCCGACGCACGATGGTGTTGCAACGCACATTGACCGAGCCTCGGATGTAGCCCGCGCTGTGCGCCAGGAACGGTCTGCAGTCCAGCAGCAGGCACTTGCCGCCGCTCAGGAGCCCCAGGGCGCCGCCGCCGCCGCCGTTCTCGTCCCGGTTCATCAGCCTTTTGAGCACGCTGCAGTCCATCTCCCGCAGCTCCTCCACCGTCACCATGGTGGCCGGGAACCGCGGCTGCTGGGCACACGAGGCGGGTACGGACAGCCGGGACAGCTGGGCTGCTGGAAGGGGTGGGCGAGGGCTACGGGAGGGCGCGTGCAAAAGTAGCCACAAACTTGGCCCTCGGGGGCTCCCACCGGAGACCCTCTTGTCCCCGGTTATCCTTCCTTCGGCGGTCTCGCAGTCACATCGCAGTCCGAGCGGCTTCGGGCACCAGGCAGCACCACGCGCGGTGCGAGAGAGAGGGCGGCGACCCTGGAGGGGACTGTTTACGGGAGAGGGCCAAGGGCTCTCTTCTGTTGTGGCCTCTTTGTATTTTACCCGCTGAACTCTTGCCGGCGCTGCAGCTCGGCCGCCGTCCCCCAAGAGCAGCCGGAGATCCGCGCACTGCCCCAGCCAGAGTTTCCTCCTCGGCTTAGAGATTTATTAACGCTCCTCCGCGCTCCCCCCGGGAGCGGGCAGAGTCAGTACTACCTGGAGAAGCCCCGCCT